AATAGAATAGAAAATAAAAAAGGAATGGAATGGAATGGAATAGAATAGAAAAAAGGAATGGAATAAAATAGAATAGAATAGAAAAAAGGAATGGAATGGAATGGAATAGAATAGAAAAAAGGAATGGAATAAAATAGAATAGAATAGAAAAAAGGAATGGAATGGAATGGAATAGAATAGAAAAAAGGAATGGAATAGAATAGAATAGGATAGAAAACATGGAATGGGATGGAATGGAATAAAGGAATGGAATGGAATGGAATAGAATAGAATAGAATAACAGAGTTGGAAGGGACCTCGGAGGTCTTCTAGTCCAACCCCCTGCTCAGGCAGGAAACCCTATACCAGGGATTTCAAACTCGATTTCATTGAGAGCCACATCAGGGTTGTGTTTGATGTTGAGAGGGTGAGGGGGGGCATGGCCAGCTAAACGTCACTCATGTCAGGGGCCCCTGTGGTGGTCTGAGCTCTCTGCCTGGGAAAACAGGCTCCTGAGCTCCGTTTTCCCCTGCAACTGCCTCTTGCAACCTTCTGCCAGCGAAAACAGACCTCGGAAGTCCCCCCTCTCCCCCAGTCCTTGCAAGCTCTGTTCTCACTGCCAGAGGCACCACTGGCCGGTCCTTCACTGCTCCCAGGGCAACCCTACGGGCCAGATCTAAGTACCCCGCAGGCCGGATCCCCCCCCATCCAGGTCTCAGGTTTGACACCTGTACACTACCATTTGAGACAAATGGTTGTCCAATCTCTGCTTTAAAAGCTTCCAGTGATGGAGCACCCACAACTTCTGGAGGCCAGTTGTTCCACTGGTTAATTGTTCTAATTGTCAGGAAGTTTCTCCTTAGTTCTAAGGTTATTTCTCTCCTTGATGAGTTCCCACCCATTGCTTCTTGTCTTACCCTCAGCTACTTTGAAGAATAGCTTGACACCCCCCCTCTATAACCTACAAAATATGTGCTTGCATGCACACTCGCACTCAGACAGAGGAAGGAAGCCCTCCACAGCTAAGTCCCATAAATAAGTAATGGGACTGAATAGCAACACAAGTCAAAGAGGAAACAGAAGATGTGAACGAAAAAGGCATTCTGATGAAACCACTGGAAGACGGACGGTGTAAAGTTAACGAAGAAGGCAGACACTTTTAAGAAGCCAACAATTTTATGGGCTTGGGAGAGCCGAGGCAGAAGGAAGAGTTAGATGCCATAAGAAAGTTCAAGAAACAGCAGAGGGGTGGAAGGTATTTAAAGAGGAAGAATCAAAATCTAACAAACTGAAAAGAGAAAAAGAAAGTCTACTCGGGAGAAGCAAGTAACAGCATGGAAGAGTAGCAGAAGATTAGATGAATAGTGGATGGCAAGAATGAGTTCATCTTCAGAGGAAGAGGAGGAGGATTTGGACAAGGGCTGCAAGAGGAAGAAGAACGTGAGAAAAAGGGACTCGGCAGAGGTGAGAAGTGAAGACTCATCAGAAGACAGTAGTGAGGAGAGGAAGGAGAAAAAGAAGAAGAAGAAGAAGAAAAGAAAGAAAGAATGCAGTGACAGCAGTGAAGACGAGGAGGACGATGATTATGGCCACAAGAGGAAGAAGAAAAAGAAGAAGAAAAAGAAGAAAGGGAAGAGTAAAGACAAGAAGAAGAAGAAGAAGAGGAAGGATGACGAGAACTTCGCAGAGATGTACAAGCAGGAGCTTCTCAATTATTGCTCGGAATCTTCTCATGAAACTGAAGATGAATACAACAAGAAAAAAGGTGAGACGGAGAAATTTATTAAAATGTTCTTTTTTGAGCTATTGCTTCTTTTTTTATTATTAAAGTTTTTTTTTTATTTTCAAAACAAACACAACACATAAAATCTTCCTTTTTTACATACTGTAGAAAGTGTATCAGTTGGTTACAAAAGACTTTCTTGCATCTCTTCCATAGTCATCAAGCCTAATTCGCATTAACTCACGTATTTTAACTCAGATATTTATACGTTACCATCATCATACCACCATTTTCATTTGACTATAGTTGCTTAAACGTCCTTCATCATAAAATATACCAAGATTTAATACATAACCACATACTGGCATTNCTTTCCAAACTCCATGCATTTATATGGTCTGTCCTGTGTGTCAATCCTTTGACGGCAATTAATATCACTACTTTCAGTGAATCTCTTTCCAAACTCCATGCATTTATATGGTCTGTCCTGTGTGTGCATTCTGCTATGAGATTTAAGCTGTACTTTCTGAGCAAAGCTCTTTCCACATTCTGTACATTGAAATGGTTTTTCCCCTGTGTGGATTCTTTCATGACAAGTAAGACTACTTTTGCAAATAAATGCTTTTCCACACTGTATGCATTTATACGGTTTTTCCCCTGTGTGTATTCTTTCATGAGAAGTAAGATTATTTTTGCGAATAAATGTTTTTCCACACTGAATGCATTTATATGGTCTCTCCCCTGTGTGGATTCTTTCATGATTAATAAGATCACCTTTCTGAGCAAATGCTTTTCCACACTGTATACATTCATACGGTTTTTCCCCTGTGTGGATTCTTTCATGTTTAATAAGTTTACTTTTGGTAGTAAATGCTTTTCCACACTGTATGCATTTATATGGTTTTTCCCCTGTGTGGATTCTTTCATGATTAATAAGATCACATTTCTGAGCAAATGCTTTTCCACACTGTGTACATTGATATGGTCTCTCCCCTGTGTGGATTCTTTCATGATAAATAAGATAACCTTTCTTAGCAAATGCTTTTCCACACTGTATGCATTTATATGGTCTTTCCGCTTCGTGCATCTTTAGGTGGAAAGTAAGGTGCCATTTGTCAATAAAGCTCTTTTCACACACTATGCATTTATATGTTCTGTCCTCTGTGTCAATCCTTTGATGGCAATTAATATCATTACTTTCAGTGAATCTCTTTCCAAATTCCATGCACTTGTATGGACGCTCCCCAGTGTGGGTTCTTTCATGACAAATAAGATCTCTGTTCCAATGAAAACTTTTTCCACACTCCATGCATTTATATGGTCTGTCCTCTTTGTCAATCCTTTGATGGCAATTAATTTCACTACTCTCAGTGAATCTCTTTCCAAACTCCATGCAACTATATGTTTTGTCATTTGAGTGGATCTTCTGATGGTGCATCAGATTACGACTTATACAGAATTCACTTTGGCTCTTTGAAGACATTGCATATTGTGGTTTAAATAACCTCCGCTGCTTCTCATTCTCATTCTCCAGCCCATCACCACAACCTGTTTGGGGGGGAAAAGTTTAAAGTTTAATAACATTTATATGCCGTCCAATCCCATAGGACTCCGGGCGGCTGACAATACAAAAAATCAAAAAGAAGGAAAGAAAAGATAGATTTAAAAAACGCACCATGCACTCCGTTCTAAGTGGTGCTGGACCGTATTTTAGGGTCAACAGCCCCAGGCCTGCCGGAACAGCCAGGTTTTAGTGGCCTTACGGAAGGCCGAGAGTGGGAAGGGTCCAGATCTCTGCGGTTGGATCATTCCACAGGGTCGGGGTAGCTACAGAGAAAGACCTCCCCTGAGTAGTCGCCAACCGGCATTGCCTGGTCGACGGTACCTGGAGGAGGCCCAATCTGTGAGATCTTATAGGTTGTTGAGAGGTATGTGGCAGGAGGTGGGCCTGTAGTAATCCAGGTCCCAAGCCATGTAGGGCTTTAAAGGTAATGACCAGCACCTTGACTCGCGTTCGATGGGAAGCCAGTGCAGCTCGCGGAGGATAGGTGTGACATGGGTGTACCAATTCTGGACCAATTGTAGTCTCCGAACACTCTTCAGGGGCAGCCCCAAGTAAAGCGCATTACAGTAATCAAGCCTAGAGGTGACGAGAGGATGAGTAACCATTTAAAGTGCTTCCCGGTCCAGGTAGGGCCGCAACTAATGCACCAGGCGAACCTGGGCAAANCTTCCTCCCATATTTGGGCATACCAGGGGTTGTGACACTACATACATACATACATACATACATACATATATTTAAGGGTCTCATTTTAATACCCTATGGAAAAAATCTCTAAAGCACTGTGTCAAACTGGATTTCTTCGAGGGCTAGATCAGCATTGTACTTCTCTGAGGGCCGGACACCTCTTCCAGCACCCTGCCAGCCAAAACGGGGCATGAGTGGGTGCACGTGGCCCCCTCGCACCCTGTTTTCAGCCTGAACAGCCACCTGCATCAGCCTGCGAGCCAAAACGGGCACAGATGTGTGTGTGTGTGCAGCTCCTCTGAACCCTGTTTTGCCTGGCAGAGTGCTGCAGGAGGCCCTCCAGGCCATAAATGGGGCAAGGGGACCCACATGCAACCCCCCCGTGCACCATTTTGACTGCTAGAGGCACCGCGGGCTGGCCCTTTGCTATTTCCAGGGTGGCCCCGTGCCCCAGATTTAAGCACCCCGTGGGCTGGATCCGTCCTGCAGGGCTTGAGTTTGATACCCCTGCTCTAAAGAGACACTATCCCCATTACTTTCATTAAAAAGGATGCTGGTTGGGAGCCGTTCTCCTTGTATTAAAGCCCAGCCCATGTGAAAGGATGCCATAGAGGTAGTTTCATTTCTCTGACAAGGTCACATAAAGCAGCAACCTGAATGAAATATAATACAGTAACAATGGGTCAAGATTGTACTATAGCCAGCAGACTTTCTGAACTGACAGTGAAAGGCACATTGTTAATTGGTGGTTTTTGTGATAATAATCTTAAAAGCCCAATTCATAGGAAGTCAAAGACTGTAATTCTATCCAGATTAGGAAGAAATTACCCACTGAACTCAGTCAAATTAAGAATGCCTTTAAGATCTTGGTTCAGGGATCTTTTAGAAGTATCCCATTCAGAAAAGGGGTAATGGTGGGGGATCAGAATGCCCCTAAAGAGTGTTCGAAGACTACAGTTGGTCCAGAATGCAGCCACGCGAGCGATATTGGGTGTACCTAGATACACCCATGTTACACCTATCGTCCGCGAGCTGCACTGGCTTCCCATCGGTCTCTGGACACGCTTCAAGGTGCTAGTCATTACTTTTAAAGCCCTACATGGTATAGGACCTGACTACCTGAGACCGCCTCCTGCCATT